TGATATCCGCTGGCAATGCTCATAGTAAATGTGTTTTGAAAATGTGTTCGTAAGCGACGAAAGAACACATCTTGTGTACATTGATCATAATTAATAATCAACATTTTGAAGATTATTAATGACATACAACGCGGACAAATTGTTATTTATTTGTAGATTCTCTCAGCATTCATTATGAATCTTTAAATAGTCTAACGCTCTGATTCTCGTGAGCCAAAACCGTCGAAATGTCTTGCCGTCTTAATATTTGTATACACTGTTTCTTGAGTGATTGTCTAAGTACTGGGTCATATTTTTGCCAAACACTTCAGAAATTTTAATATATTATTTATTTTATTATGAACATAAATTTCATTCTTCAAGCTAGTTATTTATTATTCCCAGTTATTGAAGCTTCTGTAATTTTTCACTTGATTCACTAATAACACAACACTGTATTGATATAAATTCAAATTAAATTGTATTAAATCAACTGCTTTTGCCTTATGATTTTATCAGTAAAATATTTTTTATATTAAATTAAATATTTTCACCATTATTTAATGAATATATGAACTTTAATATTCACGCTTTCCAGTTTTTACCTTTACATTATAACTATGCTATTTTTATTATTTTTGGCCTCGATTACGGTTACTTCGAGCATTTAACCACCTCCGACATTTCATTTTTATATCTATACTATCTATTTATAGTATATATTTTTAAATTTCGTATTTTATTCAAGATTTTCTTTACTCTTTGCAACAGATTTTTTTTTTAGTAAATTTTCTCCAATTTTGTAATTCCTTTTCTTCTTACTTCTAATTTTATTCAAATTCTCCTTAATTTGAAATTAACTATTTTTAAATTCTACTTCTTCCATTTTTACGGAATTTGAAATCAACATTACAAAAATTGAATTTAATTTTAAATCAACATTTCAAATTCTATGTCATTGCTAAGGATTGACTGATTCTATTCCCGCCACAATATTCATTTGTTTTCACAATTTTAGTGTAGTTGTCTGATATTTCAATATGGCATTTAGATATCGTTTATTATCGAAAATTAAGTTTTTGTTTATAATGATTTTATTTTTTATCATTGAAAAACAACACTTCTTGGTATACTCTACGATGTCCGTTATGATAAACGGCATATGTTTTAACATGAAATGAAACTTTGCTGGCCCCCCAAAGGTGTCCAAACTTCAAACATGCTACTTATTTATTATTTTCAGTTTACGAACTAATTATTTTTGATTCACTAAACTTAATGCATTTATAAATTCAATCATATTTATTTGGCACTAAATTTTTATTAATGGCTCTTTTTATCCTGGCTCCTGATTTTTGTCAGTAAAATATTTTTCATATTAAAATAAATAATTTTACCTGTTATTTCATAAATGTTTTTATACGTACTTTATTAATAGTTTTTCTAGAATTTCTGTAAAATACACTCGAAGTAGACGTTTTTTTGGCCTCGATTATAGAACGTTGCTGGTGTCTAACCTGCAATATTTAATTTTTATATCTATACTATATATTTTTCATCCATTTTTCGTTTGCTCTTTGCATCTGATTTCTTTATTCTCTATTTTATATTAGATCTGATCAATTCTAATTATGCTTTTCTTCTTCTAATTTTATTAAACTTCAACTCAACAATTCAAATCTCATTTAATTTAAAATTAACATTTGAATTCTGTTTCTTCCATTCTTACGGCATTTCAAATCGACAATTTTAATTGTATTTAATTTTAAATTCTATGTCTTTGCCAAGTATCAATTGAGCCATTTCCAAAATATTTATTTGATTCCACATTTTAAATGCAGTAGCCTGATATTTCTGTACTGTATTTAGATTTCAGCTATTATCGAAAATTAAGTTCTTGCGTATGATTTTTTTATAGCTTACTTTATTGAAATACAACAACTTTTTAGAATACTCTACGAAGTCTGTTATGAAAAACGCCAACATAAAATGGAACTTCGCCCTAAAGATGTGATTTCCGATAAGTCTTATTTGAATTATTCCAAAAGTATAAACGTCGAAATCATTAGGGCGAAACAGGCCGCTCCTCTTTGCATTGATTCAATGCATTTTGTTGCTTCAGTGCCGTCTAACGAACCAAAACCGGATTTTAGAATCACGGTTAATTATAGTGTTCTGTACTTCTCGGTCAAAGACGTTTATTCTTCGACAGTCACGAGCTTTTAACAATACATTTCAAATTCTTTTGAACCGAACCATCTTTAGACTAACCGTAGTTTATAAAAATATTCGGTAAACTATTTTCTTATAATTTATTTATTGACCAATTGTGATTCAAAATAATAATTTATATTAGCATATTTATGTTACTAACATACATATTGTACAATGATATTTGTAGCAAGAGACTTAATAGAATTAATTACAACGATATTATTTTTGTTAATACATTTAAAACAATGTAAAGGAGAAAGGTTCCTAAAAATAACTTTTGTTGTGAAGTCGATTCCATGAATTTTCTTCACTGCGCACTTTCTCTATCATGCGCAGTTATATAAATTTCAAGTTCTATCAAATAATTTTCTCATCATACTACTTTAATCTAATACAATTGTGCTCGTATGACGATAATGTTATTTTATCATGATTGATCCTCGTTAGGACAATTGGACAACAAGTGGAATACAAGTGAATTGGATGTTATGCAGGCACACAAACTAAACTACATCAGTCATCTTTTCATCTGTTGTTCAGTAATGACCTACAGCAATAAATGTTAATATTCATCACCATAGTGAAGAATGTGCCTAATTTAAAATATACTTTAAAATGATAAATAATTCAATTTACGTTGTTTATCAGATCGCAAATCGTATCTTATATATTGTGTTGCGTTTGCAAAAATTTAGGAATATTTTAATATTTGTATCTTTTTAATTAACTTCGGTTGAATTTTATATTAAAGTATATTTGCACTCTCTTCAGCTAGTATATTATTATAATTATTTGTATCTGCACAGATGCCGTAAGTTTGAGAGAAGCAAGTTCAAAAAATTTATCTATTCAGTTACCACATTATGTATATAATTGTGATTGATGATTTTTTTCTGATATTTTTGTTAAAATTATTTTGCCGTGTCTTTTCTTATAATCACCTCGAATTTTTTAAAAATAATTGCTGCTTTATTATATTTTATATTTAAAATACTCGTACTGAAATTATCTGAAAACCTTATCTGAAAATATTATCTGTTTATGCAGTTCAAGAATCGCCCGCTGCACGCGTAATTCGGCGGCAAAGTATGCCCGCATGCCAAGTGTTAATATGTAATCTACAACAAATTTCATGATATTTATGATATTCATGATTTTTATTTTCATTAAAAAAGTTATTTAATCTTTAAATTAATTGCAGACATATTTTCTTTACCACAAAGAATTAATTAATGTATTCATTTATTTTATTGCAAACACGTGTTGTTTTTTCTTGTACCCAAAAGAAGTTTGATGTTACTTGAAAGTTTTTGCATTCCATACTTGTATCAATGCAAATTTCGTTTTTTGCCTTTACGTCATTGTTACACACACACTATTTACGATCATTTTTTTTAAATAAAAATATTCCTAAGATAAAAGTAATTTTTAGGAATCAAAAGATTCAAGGTCCTTGTTACGTTTGTCACTCAATGCCACAATTGACTATGCTATTTACTGGATTAGCTCGATTATTTTGATTTTCTAGTCGGGAAACCTCCCGGTTCATTTATTATACTATCATCTTCGTTAGATTCGCTCATTTTGCTGATTTTTTCAAAATTTATTTGAATTGATTCTATTTTTTTAAATTATTGAAGAACGTATCAGGAGATAAATAGAAAAATATATAACATATGCCTTACTTTTGAGATAAATGTATTCATCAATTTTTTTTATTTTTATTCAACACATTAATTGAAAACATGCATATTCTATTTTGATACTTTAATAATATTTTGTTATAAACGATTCATATGTCATATCTATATATTTTTTAGCATCTGAAAGAAATGCAAGTTATATTCAACTTTACGTATAATATTTTGTTTTTTTTTTTATAAATATATACTTGCAAATTTTAGAGACGATGGAATATCTATTAATGCATTTTTTATAAACCTAACATTATTGATTTATAGAAACAATTACAATTTTTTATTATTGCAAGTTACTTAGCAAAGTATTTTGACAAACTATCCAGTTCAAGCATTTTTTAAATCACTTTTAAAACTAAATATTATGCATGCTAACTAAATCGCCAGAAAAAAAATATTAACTAACTGAAAGTGGCATTTTGCATAAAGTTCCTGAAATGTCCAATAATTGACTTAATCAACCAAAATAGAGATTTAGTTATATAGATAAAATTTTCAACTGTTTATTTCAAAAATAAACTCTTTTTCACACAGTTTATTTGATATATTTAATATATAATCAACAACACTGCATTGCAAAAATCAATTTGTATAATCTTTACTTCATGGTTGTTTTTGATAATAAATACTAATTTTATTGTATGTTTTGTTTATTAAGTGCATAATAGTAGAACTGATCTTCAAATCTAACGATCGTGGCAGTTTCAACATGTATTTGAAATATCTATGAACATATAAATTATAAGAAACACGTTGTTAGTGTAAAAGCGACTAATGTGCATGTGGTCGTACGACGTCAGAATTTTCGTTATGACGTCCCATCGGTTTATTTGAATCCGGGCGTCTCGCTCCTCGCGTGTTTGCTGTGCAACAACGGCAGCAGATCGCCGCAGTGGATTCGCTTCAGGATCGGTCGACCGCCGCGGGAGTCCGCGGTAGCGGAAGCGGCAAGCATGGCGGCGGACACCATCATCACGTCGATCCGCGAATACGAGTCGTACCGATGATGAATAATACTTTATCCGCCAAATCGGCGATGATGATGAGTTCGCAATCGACTCTATCAGCCGCCGGCAAGTACGCCATGGACTGTTGTGATGATGACGACGATGTCATGGATCGCGGCATTATGGATGATGGGTATGGTCCTGCTCCGCCGCCGCTTCCGAGACGGGCACCGCCTCCCGCTAGGAATATTTATGCAGAACCTTTTGCCACCGAACACAGGTATGAAGTGTGAATTTTTTTTTAATGTAATAGATTTATTTCGCAACCAGAAAATTACAACTTTTCTATAAGCTAAACTGCGAACTATGTGAGTGTTAAAATAAGATAGGATCCACTGATCTATCTTATATTATGTTACTTAATATATTTATATATATGTATAACTAATGATTGTACTTAAATACTATGTAGAGGCCACTTTCTCTTCAATCTCGAGTTTTGTTGAGTGCGCAGTAAATCCTTTATCGATTCATTTGGGTGCATCTCCAATCTTTTACGGTATATTTTGATGATAGTTCTTTGTATGTTTTGTGCACAGTCAACATTTTTAGGTCGCCGTAGACAGTTTGATTAGCGACAAACCAGGGTGAGTTGAGAATGGCTCTTAAGATTTTAGTTTGTGTTCTCTGCATAGTTTCCAGATTAGATTTGGAGGCGCATCCCCATAGCTCTAGACCATAGGTCCACATTGGCCTAATGATGGCTTTGTATAGCAGTAGTTTGTTTTCGACGGATAGTTTGGACTGTCTGCTCAGTAACCAGTTCATCTCCTTCATTGTTAGTAGAATTTGTTACTTTTTCTTTTTTATATGTTCTTTCCACCTGAGTCTTGTATCTAGATGGAGTCCCAGATATTTTACTACTTGTACTTGTGGGATCATGTTGTTGTTTAAATATACAGGAGGGCAAGTTTTTTGACACAACGTGAATGTTATGTGCGCAGATTTTGATTTGTTAATCCGTATGTGCCATTTGTTTAGCCATTTCTCTAATATGCAGATATAATTTTGAGTCTGAATAAGATAGCAGTGTCATCTGCAAATGTAGCTATAATAGAGTTAGGAGGTATTGGTATATCTATTGTAAATAATACATATAATAACGGTCCCAGGATGAAGTGTGAAAATGATAATAAATAAAATTTTCCGATTAGATTTATACATTTTAATTATTACTTAGAAGGATGAGCTTGTTAGCTCTACTCTTTCCAATATATACATACTTACAGTGTAATTTAATGCCACATTCAAATTTTTTAAAATATTGATATTCGCATATTTTAAAACTTTATATATTTATGTTTTTTAACAACAATCAAAACTTAGTCATATAAGCTGTAGTGCTAAATTGACGTAATACTAATAGGTTTTAGAGAAGGCAACTCAAACAGTTATAGTTTGATTAAATGTCATACGGAGAATTTTTAACAATCATAGCAATATTAATATTCTTTATGTTTACTTATAAACTTTATATATTTATGGTTAATATTATAATTTTTGAACAGCAATCAGAATTTAAATTGACGTATTACTAATCGGTTTTACATTAGGCAAGCTAAACTCTTTGTGATGAAATATTATTACAATTTTTGTAATAGAGCATATATCTATCAATGGAGGATCAGGACTTTACCCTTGAAAACATATTTCTGTCTACAATCCAAATTGAAAAGCGTTCTCGTTACCGTTTGACCATAGTGATCTATAGACCCTCTGATCTATTTCAGTCGTACTAGCCACTTGTCGAGCCCATATTTTTATATATTAAGAATTTTTTAATACTAAAATTATATTTTACGTAAAGCAACATTTAAAACGTTGAAATAAATAATGGGTATCTGTAGATAGGGCAATATTAAACAATGTGCTTCGCGCAACAGATAATATACATGTAATATTTTACTTCTGCAAATTTTACTTATTTATTTTATTCTAGTAATTCTTCCTGTTGGTACACAGAGCGTAATTCGGGCCTATATTTATGTTTTAGAGATATTTTTAATGTTTAAGTTATCTTTTTACCTATTATCGCGTCTATATTCATGTTTTAGGGATATTTTTATTGTTTAAGTTATCTTTTTACAGAAAGCAAAATTCAAAATTTTGAAAGGAATTAATCTTATTTATTGTGAATGAATAAATCGTGATGCGATACCATTCAAGTAGTATTACAAAATTTGCTAGAGGCACCACAGAACATATTTCTATTTTCCTTCTGCAAATTATATTTCTGTTTCCTGTCCTTTTGCTAGACAAAGTATTTGAAATTATATAATAAGATAATATTTAGCAACTGCCATGTTATTCATTTTGAATCAAAGTTACTGAAATATAGGAGAACTATACAAGAACAATGAAAATATTGTCTAAGGATTAATCTAGGACGCCTATTACAATTTTAAGGTTCATGGAAGACTTGAAATATTTTTTTTAAATTTTTAATCATCATTTATTATTTAATATCAATAATAAACATAGAAAATTTTGAATTTGATATTATTAAAATTCGTTGTTGCATATATTAATATATTTTTTAACTGGAATATGAGTTTCCATTCTTACCACTACTTTTTTTTCTATTTGTATTTTTACGTTTGCTTTTCTGAATTATTTTAAAAGTTTATTTTTGTAGAAGAAAACTAGTAATTAATATTTCATTCAAAATTTATTGAAGAAAATGTGTTATATTTTTTTATAAATTTAATAGTAAGTATTGAAGTAATAATATTTTTAATTTCTGTACGAGTTCTGTATTTAATTTTAATATATACATGTGCTAAATTAATATGTATACATTGGCTATTATATACATTTTATTTTTCTCTTTGCCTTTGCCTCTGGTCCCTTCGAAATCCGCCGATAGGGGTTTTTTTGTTGGGGGAGGATCTAGAATGTTATAATTCTTGCACTGAAATTATACTTATCTAAAATGAGCGAAGTATAATTCGCTCTTTCTCTTTCCATTGATGTATAGTGGTGAGCGCTAACATCTGCTGTTAGCGCACACCAGATGATACCCTCGAATCGCACGTGCCATGAGGGTGTATCTGGCGAACGTCTCAGGTTTTATTACTGTTACTCTTTTTATACATATAGCTTTTTATATACAACTATCAATACCTTTTTAATAAAAAAACGAGAGGTACGCGGCATCCTCGAATCAGGCAAATGGTTGTACTTCTTTCTTTTTGGTTTAAATTTTTCTAAGTATTAAAAAAAAAATCCAAAGAAATCGCGCTGCATAGTCGTTTCGTAGAAGAATCTTCGAAGCGCGTAAGCTCCCGCGCCATAATCTAATGGTTAAACGTTATAAATCTTGATACGGAACCTATTAAAAAATGTTTTGAATCATCAAAATCGGACACTCCATTTTTTTAAAAACTGAATTTCCATTTTTGGCACTTTTTTCTCCGTAACGTTTGCGAAAAACTATTCATTATATGTTCTCTCCAATAGAAATCTAATATTTTTATTACAAATCGGTTGATCCATGCGCCCAAAATCATCGACGAATAATTGTATACACATACGCACACACGCACATACATCTATATTTTCTAATATGTACTAAAATGTTCGCCTGAATCGGAAAGCGATTTTTTTGCGATTACTATAACTCACCCCGAGGGAAGTAGCTTAAGCGTAAGCTTTTCTTTTAAAAAAAATGCAATGAACTATCTTTTGGTAATCCATTTTGCGAGAAACCACTTCCAAATTGATCTCTTACATATCTTTTATATTTACTTAAAATAACGCATAACACATTTTTTGTGTTTCTGTAGCTAATTATTTTTATTATATCTGATAATAAAAAAACGAGAGGTACGCGGCATCCTCGAATCAGGCAAATGGTTGTACTTCTCGTACAAATAATCATTCACTAAATAACATAATTAAAATAGAGAAATGCAAACTAATACACAAAATGAAATTTAACCGAATTAAAACAAGTGCAACAATAGACACAAATCAAGATATACATGAACACTACACAAGACAACACAACAATTTTCACATTGAACGCAATAGAAAAAAGAATTTGAGAGAAAATGTCATATGGAGTGCTACCAAAATATATAACGAATTGCCAGACTATATTAAGATGACCAATGATAATGATAATTTTAAAAGAAAAATAAAGAAGTACTATATGGAAATTGAAGAAAAAGAAGACTGAAGAGTTATATATAGATATTATATTAATGAAATAGATATTATAGTCAAATGAAATGTAAATATTATATGAAAACTGTTTTTCATAATCTCTCATACCAGGCACCTCTGTCTGACTGAGATATGAAAATAATGTATATATGTAAATAAATAAATAAATAATAATATTATATCACTTGAATTTTATAAGAGAGTTTTATAAGTACATGCATATTTCTAATATGACTGCAAATTGAAAAATAAATAAATAAATGATTATGAGCCGCGAATTAAATTTTCTATAAAATTTAATTGTTAACCACTGACCTAATTTACCATTTTTCTTTTCAACATCATGTGAGGTAGTAGTATACTTGTAATTAGCGAACTGATATATAAAATCAAATTAATTACTAGACTGACGTCGTTCTTGTAATTAGCAATCAGAACACCGGATATTCTATAAGTTATAGGTATACAAAAATTAATTTGATATTTTATAATTTTTATCGACGGACTATATTTTGCTATCAGGCGCATAGGCCATTTTTTGTCTTGATTATGTTTTTCATAAAGGATTTATTCAAATATACATGCAGAGTTTTATTGTAAAAGAACCCGGAACTTGTTGATATCATGCGTAGAATTTTTTGACAACGCTGAACGATGGCGATATTCGATTTTAACGAACTTCAAAGTTGCATTTTATAACTTGATTTGGAAAATCTATATAATAATAAGATATTGTAATTTCAACAGCAATTAGAATAAACAACATTTTATGAGCTATTTTTTCTCAAACTTATAAACAAAGAGTTGAAATTATTATGCTATATTTTTTTAAGTCAATGGTGTTTGAAGAAGTGGAGCGACTATACAATTGGAATGAATCATTTTTTATATTTTGGTTTTACTGTAATGCAATTTACATTGACATGTTGATGCTACAATTTGAGTGTTGATAATTGACTACACCCACGTTTTTTAGCTTTCGGGATTTTCTTGTTCAACCTTCTACAAACTGGAGTTTTAAGAAGTGACAATCCATTGATTGGGCGTCTGGGT